GGCCCCGTGCCTGCCCCGCCGTCCTGCGCGGCCGGGACAGCCCGGGTCGGAGCCGGGGCTGGCTCGTGCCAGTGCTCCCCCGGCCGCGGGCCGTGCTGCCCCGGTCGGGAAGGGCCGGCTCGCCCTGCTGTCACAGGGCTCCGGCTCCCGGGCCCTTCAGCCGTGCGGCGGGGCGCGGGCTGAATGCTTGCGGACTTGCAGTGACCGCTGTCTTCCTCCTCCTTCTCTGTCTGAAGCAAGACACTGAAAGCAATTGCGTTCAAATTCAAGTCCAGCATGCCAGCGAGTCTGACAGTCGGGAAGGGTGGACACCTACTGCCCGAGGTCCAGGCAACAATCTGAATCTCATAGAAATCTGGTATCCCACGGCCAAAGGACCAAGAGCTGCTCCCCTTCCCCCTGGGCCCGTCTACATGACACTACTGTGCAGTTGTTCCTTAGTACTTGTACTAGGAAGTACTACATACTGTAACTGTGCAGTAACCAGAGTTACTGTGCACTAGTGCCGGCAAACGTCTTTCAGGTGATGCTACGGCGCAGTAGCCTAGTTGCACTGTGCAGGAGCATGGTAGCACTGTCCGTGCTGTGACGAGCTCCTGCGCAGTATTTTTCAGCTGGGGTCTGCATCTCCCGTGGCCACGTCCCATGATCCAGATGGAACCCAATTCCAGCGCCGGGTGCCCTGCAACTGCTCCTCCCTGGGGTGGGGGGTCTGTGCGATTGCTCGGGTTACTATCACGCCTGTCCTTCTGTTCCCAACATGTCCTGGTTTTTCTTCTTTCCTGCCATCCCTCCCCATTGCCATATGAAATCACCATTGTGTGCTCTTCCCTTGCATTTTTTTGTTGTGCCCCTTCAGCTTCTCATGTTCTTTATTGTGCCTTTCTTCTCCTGCTCTGCACTCAGTCGATGCAGTTGGATCTGATGTCATGCCTGCAGTAACAGATGGGGAAACTCTATACGACATTTGTAACCAACTTGATAAGGGGTGTAAAAATAGTCAACCAAGAGCCTTCAGTCCAGCACACCTTTACCTCTGTACCTGCACTGCAGGACCTGCCCACTGCACAGTTTCCAAAGGGATTTAATTCCATGGCTTTCCACCTCAGTAAGTGAGACAGTATGTAGAAAAACTACCAGGCCAGCAAACTTCTGTTAGGAAACGTCACTGAGATGACGTGGCTTTAGCTACAGCAGTACTTTCTGCCTCAGGGGTAGCTCCCCTACTTCTTGCCCCAAAGGGCCAAAAAGCAAGTCCGCCTGTTATGTAACTGAGAGCTTGGACAACTGTGCAGAGATGCAGAAGGGCCACACACGCAACATGGGTTTCCCTTGGGGATAAAAGTGACGTGTTCACAACATAGTCTCAAATGGAAAAAGTGGAAATATCACCCGAAACACTTGTGCTCATAGCCTAGTTGCTTGTCCTAGTCCATCCCAGAAACAAGCCTAATCCTCAGTACAACTTTTTTGTCTTATGCTATTTTTTAAGTGGCATGCTAAACTTAACTGAGAAAATGAGTTAGCGTCTATGGCAAGTAACCAGTCTGTACCCGATTCCTGCAGCATCGGAGGTCCCCACACACCTGTGGGAATGGACTTGCATGCCCTGGCACTCGCATGGATGCATGCAATACACCCAGGCTTTCCTCCACCCTCTGCAGCATGGGAAGATGCCTACATTAACAAAATATTGGGCAACCATTTACCCAGGACATTTTCTTGCGTGGATCAAGGATGAGTGAGGCTACAGTGCTGAGCTGGGTAAATAACTTGAGTTAGAAAAGCTTCTGGGAGCTGCTTGTAGCAACAAAAAGTCTGTTTTGCAGCCACACCCAACGCACTCCTCTACAGCCAATGCTGAAGCCTCCAGCCAACCCAATGTGCACACGTCATTAAATGAAACTCTCACCTTCTAGCTGTTTGAAAACTTCAGCTTCTAAAAAGTCACCCTTTCTTGGATAGTATATGCAAGATGCATGTCATATTACACATGACACACAGCAATTCGTGGTGTTTGTTCATCTTCTAGTAAAGGTTCTTGGTCCTGTCGAATTAGAGAGCGGTACGGCTGTCTACAATCGGACACTTCTTGTGTGCGGCTCTGTGACTTTTAAATTAGTCGTGTCTTGTTGAAAACCTTTTTTCTGCATCATAACACAGTATGGAACGCAGCGTCTCCAACCAATCAGATCACAACATGCAAATAATTTGGTATTCAATCTATAAAACTGCATCTTCAAAGAAAATCATTGAAGTGCTAAAAATATTTTTAATAATGACCACAGAAGCCATATTTGTCTCTTTGATCTTCTGAAGCTTCTGCTGGTTTCAATCAGTATCCCCACATAAAATACAGTGGAAGTCTACAATAATAAAATCCCCATTCCCATGTCCATAGGAAAACAAATAGGTTCTCCTCTCAAGAAGGTAATTTGGTGTTCTGCCTCATCAGTGCCTGGGCCCCAGCCTCTTGCTGCTGGGTGTCTTGGCATCAGTTAAGTGGTTTCTGTCCTTCCCTCCATGTTTTACTCTTTCATTAAAGTGTTTCTGTTGTCTAATTATATCTTTTCAATCAAATTAGAGACTGCAGCATCTGGTTAGTGCCTGTAACTGTTGCCATCTGCACCTAGATGCAGCAGCACTTTTCAGTTAAGGAGGATTGCTCAAGTTCCAAGAGGCAGGAAGAGATTTGGAAAAAGTTTACTTGGAATGGAGTATAACTTGAAAGAAATTTCTTCAAAGACATTGGGAGATCCCCTGCTTGCTGTGATGTTCAGGAGGGTGACACAAAGCACCTCTCCCATCTTGTTTGGCAGCAGGAAAGGTGCTGTGGCTGCCCTGGGAAAGCACCTAGGAGGCAGCGTAAACATGCAGTCCCGGGAGGCTGGCCCGAGTGTCTGGCCACCACTTGGCAGCCCCGCACCTCTTGAACATCAGTTGGTTCCATGGTCTCGCTTCCTGCTCTGGGAATTCTGCTCTCCCCACATTACTCCCTTCACCAATTACAAAGAAGACTATTAATAAGACTAAGTTAATAAGGCCCTACATTCTCTGCTCCAGCTCTGTAGGGTGCTAATGTCATGGCTATCACATTACTGTCGTAGTGAGAGCTGCAGTGGAAACATCCATTTTGTTCCTCTTTCCTTTTTCCCTAACACATAGGCATTGCTGCCCGATTGATAATAAACCTAGTAATTTAGGTTGGTGCAGAAGATATGTTGGAGAGTGTTTGGGGTAGAGACACTCCTTTTCCTGAAAACAATATTCTGGCACCGATCCATAGTTTCAGAGTTGGTCGGGTCAGAACGGACCTGAGCAGATCATCAAGTCCGACCCCCTGCCATGGGCAGGAAAGAGTACTGGAGTCAAGTGACCCCAGCTAGGCGATTATCTAGCCTCCTTTTGAAGACCCCCAGGGCCCCAAGAACACTCCTGAAATTAAAACAAACCCAAAGAAAGTTGTGCATTTTCAGTAGAATCAGCAAATTCGTCATTCTGAATTTTCTATGAACAGACTTTTCCATAAACCCCATAGATGAGCTCCCCAATTCTGTTACAAAACTGTAACCCCAGGGGGCTCATCATCACTAAGCAAATGCCCACAAGAAGATGGACCTTGCAGCATGCTCAGATGATTTCCAAACGCCCGTTGCTTTGACTAGAAGCAGAAAAATTCCATTACAGGAACCTGTCAAAGAAAGCACCCTGCTACTTCTACCTCTTATTTGTGCACAACCACTTCCCCATATCTGTGGTGTCTCAGGTCTTTCAGGTAATTGAGACTTCCACCATTCAAAGCTCTGGTGATTAAAACCAAACCCTTGGTCTCCATCCAGAAACTCAATGAGCACCAGTGCACCTCTTCAGCTATCAGTGTTAGCTGCTCAGTGAGTCACAACTGACCCGCTGAGCACACTGCAGCAGGCAGACAGCTATTGGTTGCATTGCATTAAGTTTCCAACCAGTCCTAAAATGCCACTGCATGTGGAGCACAGACAGCCATCTAGTTCCAGAATAACAAAGGCCTGGATAATGGTAGTATGGTCCCTGTGTCAGAGAAGGAAGGTCACACGTGTCTAACCAGAGACAGATGGGAAAAAAATCTGGCTACAGCTGCTATTTGATCTTCTAAAAGCAGCCCTGGATCCAATAAACCTAATTGTGAACCTGCATCACAGAGGGGCATGTGTGGGAGGTAGCG